AGAAACGTCTTCCGAAATGTTTATTGTAAAGTGGATCTAGATTTGGCGTCCAAGCGAAATAAAAATTATTACTACCGGAAGACTATATTTGTTTTAATTTAGAGCGAAAATGATACATAAAAATAAATGCACAGCTACGTCTTGAATATATAAATTTTTTCTTTCTTAAACTGTCCAAATGTCTCCACTTAGTAATACTCTATGATGAAATCGTAGCATAACTGGATTCTTTATTTCACCATTTAGCATTGCTACTGTAAACAGTTCATTTTAAGTGCAAGATTTTACGTTTCCTATTCTGAATTTTGTGTGAATTAATTCTTTAACTAGTGCGCTAATCGCAACAGTTAAATTTTTTTAATATATTAAAATAGAAACAGTTTGCTAAAATAAGACCGAATTTTTTTTAATTTATGACTTTATAATTAGTTTTTGTAATATTTTAAATTTTTTAACGTTTTAATGATAAACTCTTCGATAAGCTAGACTGCAATTTTATTTTTAATTTTAATTTAATTCAGTTTATTATTAGTACAAAGAGGCAATTTGCCCAGAACTATTAATTTCGTTTTGGCATTTTGCGTCGGTTCATTTAAAAGTTGATTCCCTCTTCAAATTGTTGCCACCAAATATTATCTCCCTGAGTTATATTTAAAGAAATTAAATAATGATGAATCTGCATAAATGTATGTATTTTTCTCGCATTGTGATAAAATAACGGTACCTAGAGCCAACCAATTTTGAATGACGTAATCCTACTGCTGATATGAGCATCTGAAAGCCCAAATTTGGAATTTGTTTTATTAGCGATTTCATATTTTGTAAAATTATAACGAATTTTTTATTAAAAATTTCAACGATTTAATAGCGAGCAGTGGCAACACTCTACGAGGGGAAAAAACTTTTTATCTCCAGCGCGCGGAACTGTGTATAGGAAATTCTAAAGATATTCTCATTTTAAAATTATTTTGCGATATTGCTCTTGAATTGAGTTTTATGGTTAAAGTCAGAAGAACATGATATTTAATAAATAAAGGTAACACACAAAACGTTTAAGAATGCCTCTTCGGGCGTAATGTAAAATCTGAAAAATTTCAGATTTTTAATTTTTTTGAAATATTATTTTGTAATTTAATATCTCTATTATTTTTGTAATACATACTGTTTTGTAATACATCTGATTAACAACGGGCTTGTTTATATTATTTTTATCGGAAATAACTGAAATTATATATCCGAAAAAATGCTATCGGAAAAAATCTTTGCCTTATTTAGTTCAGATAAACAGGCTTCTACTGTATAGTAAAGATTCAATTAAATTATGAAAAGGATTGCAAACTTTAATTTTTTATAAAATTTCAGAGGGTTGACGAGTCAATTTAGCCGCAGTCCTCCAAAATGTTATAAGAAATTTTTAGACATGATATGCTTCAGTGAAAAATACCTAAGAAGTTAAGAATGTGTTGGACCGCTTTTAAAAACTGTAATACATCTAAACTTTAATTCTAAAAATTGTTAATTACATGTAATGCAAAAATTTTCAGCTTTGCTCAAGAAGCTGTCATACCATTCAATGGAAAAATCTCAGAAGAATTAAAATTATCATATGATAATTTAATTTTGAAGTTACATTTATAATCTATTTTTCCATTTTTAATATTAATCGGGGGAAAAAAATTTTTGTTTATTATAAGAGTAACTTTCTTTCATATTCTTTCAACAGTCTGGAGTGCATAGCTAAACGAAAATTATTTAAGTGAAAAGTAATTTAAATGACAGTGTAATACAGAAAAATCTGAAATAAAACAACCGTCCAAAATCCAAATAGCATTATTTCATTGGCTCTTTTAATATGATTTATTATTCCAAAGGGATAATTTGCCCAGAAGGACTATTAATTTCGTTTTGGCATGTTGCGTCGATTCACGATAAGCGTTGTTTCACTTTTCAAATTGTTGCCACCAAATATTATCGTCCTGTATTATATTTAAAGAAATTAAATAATGAAGAATTGCATAAATGTATGTATGTTTCTCGCATTGTGATAAAACAACGGCACCTAGAGCCATCCAATTTTGAATGACGTCATCCTACTGGGAATATGGGCATCTGAAAGCCCAAACTTGAAATTCGGAATCTGTATGATCGATTCATATTTGTAAAACTTTAACGAATTTTTGATTCACAAACAACGATTAAAAGTGGAAAATGGCAACAATACGGGGGAAGAGGAAAAAAAAACCTCTTTATCTCCAGCGCGCGGAACTGTGTATCGGAAATTCTAAAGATAGGCCCATTCAAAACGTTAAAAAAATGCCCCTTTAGACGTAATTTAAAATCTGAAACCATTCAGACTTTTTTAATGTTTTGTGTGTTAACTTTATACATTAAATATCACATTCTTGGTGCTTACGCCACAGCAAATTTGTCACAAAATATTTAAATACAGCATATCTTTAGAATTTCCAATAGACAGTCTCGCGCGCTGGAGATAAAAATGCTTAATTTCCTACAGTCTTGCTACTGCCCGCTTTGAAATAGTTGGGCTTGTTAATCAAAAATTCGTTAAGGTTTTACAAAATATGAAATAGATAATTAAATAAATTCGGAATTCAAAATTCGGGCATCCAGGTGGCCATGTTCGGGTGAAGGACTACGTTATTCAGAATTTTATGCCTCTAGGTACCGTTGTTTTTTTCACACACACCGCGAGAAACATACATACATTCATACATATTTTTCATTATTTAATTTCTTCAAAAATAATACAAGGCGATAAAATTTGGTAGCGATAATTTGAAAAGTGATACAATGCATTTAATTTTTCGATGCAAAATCTCCTTTCGAAGCAAATATAACATTCGGGACAAATATCCCATTAATCCCTTTTGGGCTAAAAAAAGATGATTTGCGTAAAAAAATTAATTTGGGGCAGTGAATCTTTACTATTTCCTCATATTTATATTGTTATCATATATTGCATATATTTAGAAAGGGTAATTCAAAAGACATGTAATATATGATCAACAGGAAAAATTTATTAAAATATTCTCTTTTTATGCTTTAAATCCGTCAAATACCAAGCAACATGAAATTTTAAGATCAAGTTAAAATGAAATTTTTATCAGCTCAATGAATTATTCGTTATTTAATTTGATTACATATTTTGATGTTTAGATCAGAAGAGTTTATATTTATGAAGCAAACAAATTTTTTGTACAATCTTATTTCAGATAAGATACTATTTAAAAAATGCAGAAACCGTGTTGCTATGCAATAACAGTGAATATCATAGCAGCAGGACAATGCCTCATGTCACAAAGCTTAAAATATGGAGAGCTTCGAGGAGCATAAGAATGAATTCCAATTAATGTCTTGGTCACCTAATTCGCCGGATCTTAACCCGATAGAGCACACTTGAGATATCATGGAGCGGCTGCTCAGAGCTCAAACATCATCATGTCGGAATATCTCGACTTTGTGTGACCGCTGCTTAGAAATTTGGTACAACCTATCTCCAGTCATCTGCTAAGAACTCGTGGCATTCATGCTAAGTTGATTTGCAGGGTCTCGCGTATTGAGTAGGTGGTCATAATGGTTTGGCTGTTTAGTGTATATGCAGTCATGTTATTTATTATTTTATTTGAAGTGAATTGATTCTAAATTAGCAAACTTAAAATGAAGGCTCTTTAAATAAAAGCAACGGAGAATTTATGCTTTTTTTTATTTTAACATACGAATTTATTTTTAACAAATAAAAAATATGGTGGGAGAAAATAAAAAATAGACAGAATAAAAATATATGAATTAAGAACAGGTATGCAGAATAAGAAAAGAAGAAAATGAGCCGAAACGTTTTCGCGGCCTTACCGGTCGTCAGTTGGAGAGAAAAATGAAAAGAAAAATGAACGCGGCCAGATGCAAACAGAAAAGAAATTTCATAAAGTGTTCACAGTCGGCAGCTAGTAACTAAGTGGTTTAGACCAGTGACATTTGAACCTGAGCTAGAATCCTCCAAGATGGACGATGTTTCCGTAGTTTTCCCATAACGTGAATACAAACCGTTATCTGAAGGGGGAAAAACACCCCTCCATGAAGGCATCTCTTCCCATAGGCAGACAGACCTTTTACTTTTATAAAATAAGCAATAAAATTATTGCCCGCAGCTGCAGTGGAAAGAATCTAATCAAATAATCCTGACAGAAAAAGAGCTCAACAAGAAATGGGTATCATTCAACTCATGAAGCAAATCTAGTTGATACATCTCACTGTTTACGCCTCATAACTGCTGTTGATTTATTTATATTCAGTTTAAGAACTAATGAATGCTTATTGTACGTATGGGTCATTTTTCTAGTAGATAAAAGCTGATGAATACTGGTAGTTTGACCTATGTGTGAATTGTAGTGAATGGACTAGCTGCGTAGGGTGCTGCGATTTCCGAGAAAAGAGACGAGCAGGTTCTTTAGGAATTCTTCCACGTAGTAATTGCTTCTCTGAGGCAAATAGTTCAAGTGCTTTATCATTGTTTATTTGTTTTATTTAAACTGCTACTCTAAAACACGCAAGGGGTATCTGCCAAAGTATGGAATACCATTCTACAAAATTTTTTGAATGGTACTGTCTGATGTACGGTCAAACACGGGAAAAAAACTCATATGCAGTAAACCTATTCTCAGGAGTTCAAACCCGGCTTGAACTCCCAATGTTCAGCGCTATTAGCAACTCTGCCACTAGCAGGCTTCGTGCTTTGCCATAATGACTAAATAACAACATACCTACTGTATTGAATTCATGAATATTGTAGTGAGAGGAAAATAGCAATGCGTTAAACACTGAAGTTCTTTAAGACTAAAATGACACAATAAATGTTTCAAATAAACTTCACTGCAAATTCACCAAAGCATTATTTTAAGAAGTTAGATAAATACGGATCACAGAACGGACATTTTCCAGGTAAAAAAAAGTGAAACATCATAACATCATAAATTAGTAATTACCACGAGCAGCTGCAGCAGCAGCACCAGCAAAAGCAGCAGGATTTGTCCTTGTTGCCTTCTTTCTGAGTCCGATTGTTGTTATTGTGAGCAACTGGGGTGGACGTGGAGCTGCCCGTTGTTCCACTACTCTCCTCTTTGCTCTCTTTCTTGGTCGATGAGCTCTTGCTGGTCTTCGGGGGAGAGGAGGTGGAGGGACCGGGCCGGCCATCCCCGTCAGCAATGGGTGAAGAGATGGCCACTTGACGTTTGGCCGCCCCTTGTTGGGGCTTGGAGCTGGCTTTTGGATTCTCTTGTTGTTTGCTGGCTGTACTGCTGCTGCCACCCTTCGGTGGGCTGGACATCTATGGGAGAGAAAAAAATGAATATTATAAATGCTTGGGGTCTTTGTGCAGAAGTTCTGCCCAAAAAACATTTTTCAATACTGTGCTTTATTTAATGCATAAACATATGAAATGTTACATTATTCATGTCAATGTCTTTTTTTTTCCTCTTTTGAAAATAACGCCGAAACTATGTATTTGGAATGTATCGCAAAAACTATGCATGCTAACTCAAAGCAATAAGGATAAAAAAAACTTAATCGATGAGATATGCGACATTAAGACTTTGTAGCCGCCCAACCGAGACAGTGGTTAGTGACTCTGACTGCCGCCCTGAAAGGCCTGGGTTCGAATCCCGGAGAAGGCATCGATGTTTGTAAATGTTTAGTGTCTGTGCTGCATAAGACACTCTAAATATGTGGCGAGCTTAAAGTCCTGTCGAGAAGCTGATGGTAGGGGATGAGAGGTGGGAGACACTTGAACCAGTCCAGCGGGCTCTTTCAAAATTGGGAGGGGGACTGAGCTAAAGCTCTGTCGCCTAATATGGTGCTCAAGGCTCTTGCCAACGACAGGCGCATTTGACTTTCTGCTCCGATGAATGTCGTCGGCTTGTGCTGACTATTGTCAGACATGTGAGATTGGCAACAATGACAACAGATTTGGGAAGCCGGTTTCTTGAGAGCTTCAAGAGTCCAAAAAGGACACGCTATCTTAATCCAGAAATTCTGCGATGCTTCCTACTAACGTAATCGCCAAATCCTGGGTGAGGAGAATCATCCTCCACCACACTTTTAGTTCGGAGGCCACTGTAGAGACATTAGGTACTTTTGAAGCAAGAAAGATGAAAAATATGGAACGCCTTCGCCGGTAATCGAACACTCACCTCTGGAATACGCGCCCAGAGTACAGACCACCACACCACGAAGGCATGCCAAGAAGGCAGGAGAAATATCTTATATTTCTACTACTGAATGAGACTTTATGCTTGAATATTTATTATATATATTAAATATGTAAATCATAAATATTTTATCACCATATTTAAGTAAGAATTATGCATTATTATCAAACGAATTGCATACTTCTGTAACGAAAATTAGTCCAAATTGTAATTTATGGTAGAATGAGACTGAATATGGGAAGTATATTTTATACCGGAAGAACTTCAAACATAATACATCTGGTTATAATTTAAATGAATAAACTTCAAATTAAAGTTTGAAATTTTAAAATGTACTAAAAGAAATAAATATACATGTATTGGTGTATGAAGCTATTAATTAAGAAAACTAACTCATCAGTTTCTTTTGGAGAAAAATTAATTTTCATAGTATAGTTTAAAAATATTTTTATGCATCGTCCACTAGAACACTGATAAGCAAGAATATTGCCTTTTGAAATACGTAAAGGTATGTTCTGGGATTCATGGAAGTAATATTTTATCCGTAATTGCTAGAAAGTATGGTAGGAAATTTTTACCTGTATGGATGTGAAGCAGCTTTTAAATTAGAAATAATGGGATAAGATAGAATGGTAGAGGAGAAGTTATACAGTATATAAGGAAATTTGGGAAAGATAGCAACGCCTTTAAAAGAATGGTATGGAAAAAATGTGCGACTACTTGAAAAAAAATAGCTAAGAGAGATAAACTACAGTGCGTAAGAAAGTTTGAAATACATGGCTGTTTTCTTAAATAGTAAATTTATTTCTTTTATTTGTCTCAAATTTCTCAAAAGCAGAGAATTTTGGGAAAATCTCTCAACATTACGTGTAGGAAAAGATCCGTGAAATAAATTAAACGTTTCATGTGGTCTCTGCAGAGCAAAAAAAAATCAAAGTTCTAAAGCATTCTTTGCTTTTTAATGAGCTAAAATGATTTGTTATCGTTGAGAAAAAAATTTTTACATCATTAATGATCCAACTAAGGAAATGTGAGATTGAACTTGCTGAGTGAGGTCCCTTTCCATGACATTTATGAATAGCAATAAGAAGACAAAACCAGTTAATAGTTTCATCTTGAGAAAAATATTTACTACTAAAATTTTAGTTAATCCATTAATAGAGTGACACTGTTTATTAAAAGTAGATTCGCGAATTTTGAAAAGGTTATAGTACATATTGATTTTCTGGAAAAAGCATAAGAAACATATCCCTAATGCAAAGTTTTTTTCCTAGGATGGTCACTCGAAAATTATCACAAAAAATAAAATCTAAAATTTTTAGTTACAGTCAAATGAGTGTAACATTGAAGCTTCAAAAAATTAATTTCAGAGCGATGAAAAATATTTAAAAAAATAAAAAAATTAAGAAATATTAGATTAAAAATAAAATGCGATCTGATTTTGGCATTCAGATTCTAGTTTAACATCTGAAAAAAATTTTAACTTTATTACTAAAGGTCCAGCAATTTAGGAATGAGTCCCTTTAGAAATGACAGATACAGAATATAAAATCTGATATTTAAAATAACTTGTTGATAATGGCAAAGATAAATGGTAGGGAAAAAATTACCATGACATTTCATTGTACATTAATGAAATGGGGAGACTGGTAAAGAAAAGATTTAACTATTCAAGATGTAGTTGTACATTTGTTTCACTACACCGCTCGCTCACGATGCTTGTAATTAAATATTTAACTCAAGATGCAATGCTTTCCATTTCATCAGTTCACCAAAATGCCCGAACTGAAAACAATAAATATCTCGAACAGGCATCTTACGAGCTGCTTAAAAATAATTTTCTCTATCGACAGTATCTGTATCCAAATAAACTTCGCTTAAGTTCTAACTTTTTATGCACAGTTAAAATTAGGAAGTGATTTTGGAACTGACATGAGTCTTTTTTTATGTTTAAGGTAATGTTTGTTATATATTAGATGCTATAACTATAACTGTAAAACTATGACAAAACATAATTATTAGTAGTAGAAAAAGGAGAGTTCATCGCCAGGATCTCAAACTCGCAGGCGGATTGCGGATGATGCGGATTGGGGAGGTGGAGTACGCGGAGGCGCAGCAGATAAAAAGGAGAGTTTCAGGATTCTTCATAAAACTGATAAGATGGCGTCACGCTTTGATAAGAGATTATCTTTGAATGATTTTCCGGAGGTTCTATGAATTTTTAGATGATTTTCTATATACTCAGAATTTTACCTGTTTCTTAAATCTTCTGTTCATAGTACCAGATTTACTTTCCGTAATCTTAATTAATTCCTTCTTTTATGTTTATTCATTTACCGCAATTATTTCATACCTTTAACAATACTCTAATTATTGTACAATGTTACGATCTTAATTATTCAGATTTCGTTTCTATTTATTATTTACTTAATTTTAGATGTAAAATTTAGCTTATTTATACTTTTAGTCTTCATAATATTTAATGAACTCTAATTTTGTAACAATTTTTATATTTGTACACTATATACATGACCTCATAGTTTCCAATATAGTCTTAATTTTAACATCAGTTCCTATATTTCAGATCGTATACCTGACTTTTATTTATTTTAGATATAAATTTTAATTTTTTCTACTTTTTAAAACGTTTTTAGTTTCCAACATACTCTTAAGGTAACTAATTTGCTATATTTTACATATGTATTGACTTAAGTAATTTATAGATATTTCTACGTTTTAACTTCATAATTTCAAACAGGCTCTTAGTTTAGCTTCATTCCTCGATTTTATAACCTTATAATGAACTTTATTTATTTAGATGTATTTTAATGTGTTTCGTACATTTGAACTTCCTAATTTTTAAAGTACTTAATTTTAAACTGTTTACCATATTTTCCTACCATATACCTACTTTATTTAATTTAGATGTAAATTTTAACTCTTTTAACTTTTCACTTTCTTAGCTTCCACTACTCTGAGTTTTACGAATTTGCTATATTATCACATAAGTACATGACTTTCATTTCATTTTAAACTACTTCATACGTTTAACCTTCATATTTCAAAAAGGCATAATTTAGCTTAATCATCCTCTATTTCTGACCTTAATAAGCTGTATGAATTTAGATGTTATTTTAACGTTTCGCACATTTTAACCTTCGATTTTAAGTACTCTATTTGAACTTGTTTATTAATTTTCTACATAAAATGAACTTAATTATTTAGATTAATTTTAATACTTTTTAGATTTTTGTTATTTCTAGTTTCCAACATACTCTACATTTTAACTCTTTTTTACTATTTTCGATTGTAATCATGCATTTGATTTTACTATTTCAGCGAAATTTAATTATTTAAATGTCTTAAACATAGAGATAGTTTTCAATTAAGCATTTTATTTTACAACTGATAACTATTATTTATATCCAATGCGTTGAATAGCTCTTACTTAATCTTTATAGTACTATTTTAATTTGCTAATTCTACAATTTACCATTCTGTAGCACTCTTAACCATGACTGACTCTACTATTTTACTTCATTATTAACTGCATTTAGTTTCAAACTTTAACATTTCCTGCATCTTCTGGTATTTCCTTATATTTTCTACATCATTTATATTGCTATGTGTTTTAAGCTCTTCAATGTTAACATGTTCGGTTTGAATCTCGATTCTCATAACTTAGTTGCAATCCGCATTTTAGATGAATTCACTACGTTCAGCATAATTTAGAAAATTCATGTTCAGTCAAATTCCTAATCTTTCGTTGTTTGAATTTCATACTTTTTAATAGTATTTTGCTAATTCACTGCATTCATACTATTATTTTAAGTTTAAAGCATCGACATGCAATTTCACATAATGCCTTTTTCCTGCACTAGTACGGATATTTCTTCCTCCGAAACTTCATGTGAAATAAATTATTTAAATACCATACAAAGAAATTACTAACTAAACTCCAGTATCGAATGAGATGTGAATGATTTTACCCCTGTTATCATTTTACCTCTGAAATTTTGTTTAATTGATTTAATTTTTTTCTAGAGCAAATGTAACACATTTCTTCGAGCCTATTCAGTTCATAAATTTCCCTAGACAATGCATATATATCTTTT